ACATTGACTATGCACTAAATTAACAGTAAACAAGTAAATCTAATTAACTAATTATTTAACAAATGCACACTCTAATTCAGTCAAAGATTCGCATAATTAGGGTTTATAATACTTTAATTCACAGATTCCCAAAAAAGGCATATTTTACCCCAATTGACAACCATAAATCCAACGAAATGTACTAATAAAGGGTTTAAAGTACCTCTTGTAGTCAGGAATGTCGATTTCTGTCAGCAAATTACCAAGCTTTTGGTCCCCTCACCCTGTGGAAGATGACAAGAGAAGCTGATGTGTTGCAATTTTGTGGTTCCAGCTCGATTTACCCCACCTAAATTGATCTAGGGTTTCAGTTTTTACAGAGAGAAAGAGAAAAATCAAAGGAGAGAGAAGCAGTTACAGTGAGAATCAAGAAAAATCAAAGGAGAGAGAGACGAAAATTGATGAGGAAGTGAGAAATTTGGTGAGACATTGATTATGGAAGGTGGAAGGTGAGAAAAGGAGGAGACAGAGGGAAATCGATTTTAAAAGAATTAAATTGGAGGGAAGTGACAGTTAACTGGGCCCCACAAGCGTTTTCCGTCACCTGAGCTCAGATGAGGTGGTAAAACTGATGTTTAATTTTTTTTATGATGTGGTAAAGTAAATGTTTTTTTTTTTGAGGTGGTAAATTCGACAAAGTCATTATTTGAAGGTGGTAAAAATGAAAATACCCTTTTAATAATATGTTCTTTTCATTACAGCCTTACGTTCTTTACATTTGTACAACATGTTCTTTCCGCGAAATAAATGTATGTTGCAAGGTACCTACGTCTGTAGGAACCACATATTCGCATTTAGGAGTGGAAGAGAGATTAAAAGCACTTTTACCCTAAACACTCTTACTTAATAGGTTTGAATCCTATACTACTAAGATTTGTCGTAAATTTTTTTAAATGAGTCAACACTGTGTTGGTAAGTTTATTACTTGAAGTAGCACATTATTACAAGTGTCAAGTGGGATCTATTACTTGGAGTGACATCAATTGTTTTGTTTTTTTTTTTTTTTATATGTAAAATTGTGCTTCAACATACACATACTGTCGGACAATTAGAGAGTAACGAAATAAAGTCACTTATAATAGCATAATAATAATATTTAAACTCACTTAACAATATACTCGTATATGCCATTGTTTTATTGTATGTACTCCGTATTTATTATTATTTGATCATAATTTTTTTAGTTCTGCATTTGTGAAAATTATAAATGAAAGTTAGTACAATATGATATCTGTAAGATTTTATATGCTATACATTATACAATACAAATCAACAACGTTGGTCAAAAGTCAAAACCAAGCTCTAGTAGTAAGGATAAAGGATTGCAGAAGTTGGAACTTTATGAGTTGAAGGTAAAAAATTTCACTTCCTCTAATTTTAAACATAATGTAAATTTTTTCATGATATTAATGCAATGTTAGTATGTTACACTTGATTAGAATGTTACTTATAGCATACTCTCTTATCTTTAAATAATTACGGAGTATCCGTTACGTACTTATAGTTATAATAGCAAATGCAACTTTAATAAATAAAGCTAAAGTACTGAAGCAACTTCAACTAAATTTCAGTAGCATTTTTTTAATCTGAGGAGATTTTCTTGTCAGCTAATTACAAATATTAAAATGAAAATATAGGAAAAAATGTTTGAATGTCGGAATATCTAAAAAGTAAGCATATTTTGTTTAGCAAACCAACCCAAACAATCTATGGATTATCAAGTCTCATCAACAACTACTTTCTTTGTTTTCTTTTAATAATATTGAAAGTTTCACGTTTTTTAGTGTAACAATATAATTAATGCTTGAAATATTTTTAACTACTAATGAGAAGAAAAAATCAAGATTCTAAAAATGCACCGCATATTACTCGGTAATACATCTATACAAAATTTTGGATAATGAAATATATGAAGTATATGCGGTGCATAATGCATGGAGAACAAGTCATCTAATTTTTATTTTTGAAAAGGTAAGAAGAAATAAATATTAGAAAGCCCTCCTCATGAAGAAAATTCCTAAGGTGATAACAAGCCACCTAATGTTGGTGGTAAATTCCTTAATCTATGGGATTACATGCATGGCCAATTGGCCATAGATTAAATAACAACTTTTGCTTTGCTTTTTGTTTCATTTACTTTTCTATTTGATTTTCTTTATTTTATATCTCTCAATATCTAGCATGTCATTTTGTGATTTGTGAGGATGCATTCTGAGATCATAAACAATTATTTGTAATCATATAATTCCATTAGTTGATCACATAAAGGATTAAAATGGCATTGAGCATCAATCACGAAAGATATGTCTGTAATTGTTGGCTAAAATAATAGTTAAGAGACAAAGTATATCGAGGATCTCATTCACCCAAGTGGTCTCAGGTAGTTCATGAAAAATACCTTGTCCTCTATTATTTTTGGATTCGACAAGTTAAAAAAATATTACTAAAATAGAAGGTTGTAATCCACTTACCACCATTTCAAATCACTTCTGAAAATAAATTCCACAAGTGGAATGAATATAGAGGGTGGCTCTTAAGGTTATAAAAAGGGAAAATTCTCCGTTTCTCATGGTGAGAAACAGATTTGTTTCTCATAATGGCATTTTCGTAAATAAATCAACAACTTTTTCATTATTGTAGGCTCCACAATTTAATAAAGTTGAATAAAGTTGTTGGTTTATTTACAAAAATATCATGTGAGAAACAATTTCTCACCATGAGAAATTGGGCATCCTCTATAAAATGTCTTGTTTGGAACTATAATAGCCCTACATCAGGTTTCTGAAGTCTTAATAACGAGTACTATTAGTTCAATGAACTAATAGCTATTACGAAAATTTGTTATTATAGTAGTTGTTTGGGTCCAATTTAGTCCAATTGGGCTTAGGCATTAAATGATCCAATTAAAAGCCCAAGGTCAAGGTTCATCTCTCCAATTGTGCTAAAGTCAAAGATCAGTCCTCAAGGCAAGCCAATTGGGCTAAGGCCCAACTTCTCCATGTATGCAGAGGTATAAAAGCCATCAATATTACATTTGTACATTCATTCAAGCAAAGCCTCAAGCAATTAATTCTCTTGCATAGTGTTCTCTTTCTACGCACTGTACTGACTTTAGCATCGGAGGGGTCTTCCTCGGCAACACCCCCGAGACTAGTTTACGTGTGTTTACTGTGCAGGAAACCTTCGGCCCAACATTACTTGGATCGAATCTAGTCTTCTCCACTTCATCGGACCTTCGACAAGGTCCCATTGTTTTCACCCGAAACAGTAGTCAAGTGCTAGTTAAAAGATGATTCCATTAATTAACCAAATACACAATTCCATATTTTCTTATTGTCTTAATAATGTGTAGATTTTTTTTCCCCAGTCTAAAAGACTCATATCCACCTCATGTCATGCCTGTTGAAGAGTATTAAGACTCCCAAATCCAAGTGAATAGAGCTGGCAGCAATATAAACTACCTATTTTAAAAGTTTGTTCTTTTTAAAAGTGGCTTTCATTTTCATTTTCATGATTATTAGTCAAGTACGGAACGCTAATTAACTGTTTCTATCATATGATCACTTGTAAATATGATCTAATTATGTAGCCAACACCTGGATCTAACTTTTCTCTTGCAAATCTAGATTTTTGATACATGAACTCACAACCTCTCAATTGAAATGTATGTAATTGACATACCAACCAATCAATGTGACAATATTACAATACCATTGTACGCAAATCTAGAAGTTTATTTTTGCTTATTTAGATTTTATTATTAGGACAATATCATAAGTTTTAACAAAGATTAGAGTAAAGGCATACATCTTTATTAGTTTTGTCACTCTCATTAATAGCTAGAACAGTAGAACTCAATCAACACATAATATGGCAGACAAAACCGACAAGTATAAAGAAAATGGATACTGAAAGTTTGAAAGAGGCCAATTATTATTGAAGACTTTGTTTCAAATTTAGATCAAAATTACTAGATACAAAGTGTGAATTTTTAAGTTTTACACAATAATATGCAAACATTAGTTGACTTGAAAAAAGGGAGGTCGACAAAAGGAGTATATTTTATATCCTCGTTATTATAAGTTGTGAACGTCAATTAATTTAGTCATACAAAGCTGCATTCTTTTTAAGAACAAATTAAGACGCTTTTATTTGTACTTTCAAAAATTAATTTTACTAAATAAAAGCTCATTTTTAATTGGTAACTGCTTCACAAATACACTAGTAATGAATTTAAATCAACAAAATCTAGTATTACCTTTGTTAATTACTTGATGTTCTCTACACTTGTCATGTTATTTGTACATTGTACCCATTATTTAAAAAGTTTGACAGTTTCCTTATTTACATACTTCAAAGCATTACCAACTCTTTGTAATTTTTCTCACACGAAACCAATGGTGTTAATAGTTAAATATAACATTAAAGTTCATGTATAATAACTACAAAGTGCTAAGAATATTTAGAAACGAATGTAGTATAAAGGGGTATTAATCTATTAGACTACACGTAATCAAAACGTATAAAAGAAGATTGACTTCACAAAATCTACTTTTTCTTGTCGAAATTTCGCACGAATTTGCAAGATAAGTTGTGAAGTCAATCTTATTGAACCTTGCATTTTTACTTGTAGGATACATTGTCAAATGGCAATCGTAATCTACCAATCAAAAAGAGATTTTTCATCTGTATCTCTGTATTTTTTTGGACCACCTGCTACCCTCCATAGTCTTGCTCTCTTCTAATTACAGAACATTCAATTCAATTCAATTTTATGTATTTTCTAAAATTCTCTTCTTAGGAATAAAAATAAGCCTTCTTACACAAGGGTTATGCTTATTCAGCATCTACTGCTGGAAAAGTGAACTATAAGATTGACTATAGAATTTTGAATCCTTCATTTTCCATATTGCACATGTTAGGAGACAATGTAAAACAAGCAACTGCAACCCTATTGACCTCTTCTTAATTTTCACATGCCCGTTATTTCATGGAAATAATATGACGTACTCAACAAGTCCAATAACTTATTGTCAGTTTGTCACATTGTCACAATCCGTCATAATTGATAACACCATCAAATTTTCCAAAATGACCTAGTAGTACAGTATTTGTTTTTACAGAAGTCGATCTAAATGAATAATCACATTACAACATCCCAACAAAATGCCCAAGATACCCAACAGGCCACACCAATGGAAGCATAAAAATGAAAGCGACAATTAATCACCCTCCAATCTTCCAGTCCTCCTTGGGAATTTTAAGCGCGACTTGGAATGGCTAGACCAAAAAAAAAAATACTAAACTACCTGGTATACATTAAAGACCTAATACATCTGCCCTACCTTTGCTTGTTTGATTCTTTCAAATATTATACAAGGATCAGGTGGGTTGAACCTACCTTGTGGCTTGACCAAGTAACTTCTTTCCTGATGCTGAAAGAATACTTTTGAGTTGAGACTTTATTTGTTAGCCTTTTGAAAGAAATGTTCCATTTGCAGACACCCTTGAGACTGCAAACCACTTGATTTCGTTACAGATTTGAGTCTCTTTGCTGAAGTAATGCTGTCTCTTGCATCCTGCATTCACAGGACAGGATAAAATGTGCATTCGGATTTGAGATTCTATAAATGAAAATTCTTAACTTTGTTATTTTCCAAATAAATGGAAATGAAATTACTCGAATCCAATATATAAGATCAGATGATCACAGCTATGGACAGCTATTTGGATTGTCTTCTGAAGAGGGAATATGAATTCAGAAACATTGACTATAGGGAGGACATCATATGAATCTTGCTCAACCATTTCTACTATTGCCAACCTATTTAATGGATAGAACTTGAATGCTCCCAAATTTCTACTTCGTATATGACTACTTTTTTTAATTAATCTCTAATGAAACGTTTATCTTTGTAAGATTCAGTCACATTGCTTCTTTATAGCTTTTAATTTGTACTTATCCTTTAGTCTAATATATAGTCAGCTAGTAATTTATACTATTTTGAGATGTAAAACAAAAGTCACATACCCTTTGATTCTTGACAGATAATAGCTTTACTTTTCGCAACATATATGACAGAGAATGAAAAAAAGACAGCCACTTGAACCTTAATTATAGAAGTTTCGATCTTTGGGATAATGAGACTATTAATTCCAATAACAAGGGAAACTATTTATATGTATATCATGTAGATATGCTAGGAACTCTACAGATAATTTAGATCATTACACAAGTATCTATGTAAATGAACCTAGAATTCATGCAGAAAGTTGATTGTAGCAATCCTATCTTCACAACTCTAAGGGGGTAAATTTTGAATGCATTGCTAAGTAGTGTCTAATGAAGAAGCTATCATATTACCACTCTATGCTCTCAAGTTATTCATGATAAACCCTACCAAAGAATTTTATAGAAAATCCAATCAGATATGAAAAAGAGATAAGAAAGTTGATGGCAGGCTATTCTAGATTTCCAGGTAAAAACAAGTCTATGCAAGGATTCAATCATAAGGAAGAAAACCTACCATAGAAGCCTGATTAAGAGATCTCAGAACTTTAACCCTACCACCCCTTCCGTCTGCTCCTTCTGAAATTAAGGTATCAGTATTACGACTTAATCCCAGAGATGACTTGTTCTGTGGCCGCTTGCACCATTTTCCCAGATACCTGTTTGCTCCATCTGGTCCAAGTAACCCTCCAGTAAAACATCGATCTCCTGGAAATAAAAAAGGAAATGATAATAGTACATGAGTATAAAAAGTTGTGTAACGATATGATTCACGCTGCAAAAATATAATTTGACTGTAGTCTTTTGGCAAATTAATAAAACTTCAAGTCATAATTGCATTTGGATTAATAATATGCAAAAAGAAATACCACATGCCTGGCTCAGCAAGAGGGATTGGAGCAGTGGTATCTGCTTTGGAATTAAATGAAGGTTGAACTTGTCTTATATCCTGAAGAAGCAACCCCTTTGTAGCAGAATGATCATTAAGCACTTCATTCCTTAGACCAGCCGAACATGACAACCCAAATTGGTGATCTGGTTGCTGCATCCAGTCCTCATTACTGTCACAATCAACAAACCCCAACGATTTACTCTTCTGATTATCAGCCTTCGAATGGGAATCCACAGTTTTCAACTTCTGCAGTTCATCCTTGCAGGGGAAAGTACAATCATCTCTATTTGTTTCCTTAACCACAAAAGGATCATCATTTTCCTCTCCATCCAAATTAATCACTGAAGTTGGGGATTTTCCCTTTCGCTCAACAGTTGGATGTTTGAAAGCATATGAAGGCTCTGTGCTTTTACTGACGCTTGGCATGATTACATCATTGCAATTTCTTTTCTTGGAAGCTTTTAAGGACCTTAATATTTCATTATCTTTTGCTTCGATGGCTAACTCCAGTTCCTGAACTCTTGTCTAGTAGCAATGGAATAATAGCAAAAAATCAGATAATAGTCAACTATTGCTGATTGTAACAAAAGCACTAATAGGATCAATTGGACTACCTTGAGCTTTACTATCTTTTCTTTTGCCTTCTCAAGCTTTCTCAGTGAATGAGCTTTTTCCCTACAGAAAGAGTTGCACTTAGCCATCAATTCATTGTAGCTCCTGGGAGGAAATGAAATTTCAATATGTTTATTCAGTATGCTGGACAAAGGATTAATTATCTATTCAAAACTAGTGGAACGGGGAAACACACACACACACACACACACACACACAAAATTAAAGTCACTGCATCTACACTTATATTCTAGATTCAAAAGAAGAACATGACAATTTTATACTGATTCATGGGCAGAAACTCACCAAAAACAATTGCCAAGGCTTTTGTACTAGGTAAAATTATATCACTCTTCAATGTTAGCCTAGGCAGTAATAAATTATGCCTTGGAAAAATCACTACCCGAATTATATCATATATACTTCAAGATGAAGAGACAGTCCAAGAGAAAACAGCAATATCGAAAACAATACTGCCAAGAGCTAAAATCAATTTGTCCCTTACACCAAACAAGCCTTTAAAAAAAGATTCAGATTTTTAACTAGTATGTAAGGGAAAGGGTAATGAAATTATAGGCGAGAGTAACAAATAGCAGTGTCCCTTATAATGGGTTGCCATTGTACATTTGTAACTTACTACACAAAGAAACAGAAGATAACCTGTGGAAAGAATCAAAAGTTGGTACTGTTCTCCTACAAACCTCTTGAAATCAGTAAAGGGTTCTTGAAAATATGCAGTAAAATTCAAACCACATTGGTGCCAAATGACTTTGTATATTTCCCAAGCTTACAGTGCCGTTACAAGATTTATATTTGCATTGTATAATGCAAACATACTACCAAAGGCAAGGATTGTAACAATATAACTGTATAAGAAACATTCATTAGAGATATATGTTCACTATCTAATATCAATGTAGTCAAAACTTTAAATTCCAGCATATCCAGGAAGAACTACACTTGCACTTCCTAACCTCCAGAAAGCATCATCTAGGATCTTTATGCACCCATGCCTCAACATGAAATCTACTAATATCTACTGGTGCAAATAAAGAAGAGAGTAGTATACAGTTCATTCAGCATATGTCAAGACTTGGCCAAACCATTAAACATAAACAGCAAATGAGAGGCTTTTTTATATAACAAAGGCATAGCCGCATAGACATCCATATCAGCATATATTACAGAACAAAAATAAATCAACACTCATCACTTACTTCTTACAAATAACCAATGACTTCTTGAGTACATCAATTGCACCTTGGGCATTACTTTCATGACCAATTGTAGCAAGTTTCACGATATCTTCTTCCTCCAAGTTACAATTTGACACCCTAAGCACAAAAGACAAAGCCAGAAAAACATATTAACACAATCATGCTAAGACTAACATTGGAACAGAAATTAATGGGATGTTCACACAACACTTCTACTAACAGCTTCAGGGCAGCAATCTCTTTGACTAACGCCAAATTCTTCTCTTGCAACCTTGAGCATTCCAAATTTGATTTAACTAGATCCTACATCAGCAATGCTTTAGCCAGATGCTAATCAAAAAGTAGATGTATAAGACAGTATCAGTAGAAAATTGATGATAAAACTCACACTAGATTTTGTTTGAAGCATTGCTTGGATGCACTCCTTGTTCCTCAAGGCCTCATTCTTTAACAGTACTTCTTTGGATAGCTGTTTACTGCATGTTTGTAGCTACAACACATGAAAACAAGTAGCATCAACAATTTTCCAAGACAAAAAACAAAAAAAAAATCCAAAATACATTTTTGAAAAGTACTCCAAATAACATCAATCACACATAGCTAGAAACATCCATCTTAGCAAAATAAAAAGTACTCCAAATTAGACCAAAATTGCACTATAATCCCCTAAAACAACATCTAAAAAAAAAGGCAGCAGTCCATTGTTTTTAATTCAATAACATTATGTAAACTTGTAAACCTCACACTGTTGCACACAAGAAATCCAAAAGAACTAAACTTCATAGTTGCTAATAAAAACATTCAAAAAAAGTCAGAAATTTAACCTAAAGGACCCACATTGAGCAATTCAAATATAATTGTTAAGGTTAAGCTAAATTATATCCCATAATCATATAAATTTTTCCCAAATATTCAAACCCATTAATGAAATTACCTGATCATTGAGTTGTTTAAGGTCCTTCTGATTCAAATCCAAAGCAGAACTAAGCCCAGCAACCTTAGCTTCCAATCGTTTAACCTCCACACGCAACAATTCCGGGGATTCATCGTCGCCAATTTTGCTATGTTTCTGGGTATCAATTTGAGATTGAGAACAAATCGGATCCCCAATTGATTGAAAATAAAGACGACCCACACTTTTCTGGGTACAGCCCTGCTTGCAAACTGGACATGACTGTTTCTTCGAGTTCTTGCAATACTCGAACCATTGCTGTAAACTAGGGATTTCATATTTGAATCAATCAATTCAATTAATCTAATTAAAAAATTAAAAAAACTAATGAATTGAAATGAAATGCAGAAGTACCAGAGTTCATGGAAGACATGGCCGCAAATGGAGATAGCTTGAAGGTCTTCAACAATGGGTTTTAGATCTTCGTAACAAATTGAACATATTGTTTTAGAGAAGCTATTATTACACGAAGATCCCACCATTCCCTGAATGATGAGGAAGAGGAAGAAGAAGGTGAAATAATGGAGGGTTTAAGTCTGAAGAGAGAAAATGAAATCGTGGGATTTCTGGTTTTAGATTTGGATTCTGGGTTGAAATCACCATAGGAAAATGGAGGCGAGTATGAAATTGAAATTTTCATTTTTGACTGTGCGGGGGATTTTGTTTTCTGGGCGGGAACATTTTTTCAGATTTGGGATTTTGTGGATTAAAAATATTCAGATTCTGGCAATGTGCATTATTCATAGTGAAATTGCCAATTACGGTAAGTGATACGGAGTAAATACTTGTAAATAAATACTACAGTACTCCAAATTAGATTACCCTCCTTGACCAATCAATGTGGTTAGAGCTGTCAATTCGAATAAATGGGTCGGGTTTGGGTAGGTAATAGTGGGTCGGGTCAATTCAGATTAATTCCATAACCTATACAAGTCGGGTTTAGGTTGGGTAATGCTTGAGTCGGGTCATACTTTTTATTGGGTTTGGGTCGGGTTAATAACAGATTGGGTTACATTCAGGTCGGGTGAACAATAAGTCGGGTTTAATTCATGTTTTCACAGGTTAGGGTAATTCTCGGGTTCGGTTCAAGTCAATAATTTGCGGGTTAGAATCAAATCGGGTCATTCTCGGGTTTGAGTCGGGTTCGGTTCAACTCAATAATTTGCGGATTATAATCATGCCTGGTCATTCTCGGGTTCAAGTCGGGTTCGGTTCATGTCAATAATTAGCGGGTTATAATCAGGTTGGGTCATTTCCAAGTCGGGTCATTCTCGAATTCAAGTCGGGTTATGTTCAAGTCAATAATTTGCAGGTTACAATCAGATCGGGTCATTTCCAAGTCAGGTTATATTCGGGTTTAACTAACTATAAATAGATAATTATCATTTTTATCAAGCAAATTATTTCCTTTGACTATAATACATATGGCAATATACTAGGGAACTATAGTCTATAATTTAGGAAGATAATTATCTCTTTTGACCATACAACAATTATATATTATATTTAACTCTTAAATTTGAGGATATGGTCTCCCGAGACAAAATGCTTTGATCAACAATAATAAGGTGGTCTAAATTGCATTTAAGGTGATTTGAAATCGGGTCAGAATCAATTTGGGTTGAATTTAGGTCGGGTCAATAACAATTAACAAGTCGTGTTAATTTCGAGTAAGGTTAGTAACAGATCGGGTAGAATTTGGGTTGGGTAAGTAATAAGTATGGTAAAATTCAGGTCGGGTCAATAACAAGTCGGGCTGAATTTGGGTTAGGTCAATAACAAGTCGGGTCGGTTTGTAACAGGTTGGGTTAAATTCGGGCCGGGTTAGGAACGGGTCGGGTTGAATTCAAGTCAGGTTAGTAACAAGTCGGGTTTAATTCGAGTTTTGACGGGTTAAAACGTGTTTGGGTCAATTTCGGTTCAAGTCGGGTTCGGTGCAAGGTAATTAAATTGGTCGTTGTAATCCGGTAAATCGGGTGCAAATTGTAAAACAGTAAATAGGGCGTTTGAAATCAAATTGAATGGTTCCACACACCCAGTTGGACTCCCGGAGGGTATTAGGGACCATGGTAAATATTTCGGCAATTTTTAATTATGGGCGAAAAAAAAGTCAAAAAATTCCAAAATTGAAGGCTAATATCCACGCTTTTTGAAAAAAATTGGAGGTTTCGGAGGCCGGTGTCGAAAAGTCTTGAAATTCTATGAGATACATCTCAGGTCATATAATGCCATTTGAAACCATATATGATCATCATTTGTTGTCATAAATGTTCGTGGTAGACTTGAATTAATGAAATCGGTGCAAGATGTAAACCGGTAAATTGGTCGTTTAAAGGCAAATTGGATGGTTCCACACACTCAATTGGACTCCCGGAGGGTATTAGGGACCATGATAAACATTTCAGCAATTTTTATTTCCGTGCGGAAAAAAAAATATTTTCAAAATTGAAGGCTAATATCCACGTTTTTAAAGAAATTTTGGAAATTTCGGGGCCTGTTATAGAAAAGTACTTCGTATTAATATTTTAGGGGATACATCTCGGGGTCATATAATGGCGTTTAAAACCATACATGATCATTATATATTGTCATAAATGTTCGTAGTAAGCTTGAGTTAATGAAATTCATGCAAGTTGTAAACCAGTAATTAAATTGGTCGTTTAAAGGCAAATTGGATGGTTCAACCAACCCAATTAGACTCCCGGAGGGTATTAAGGACCATGGTAAACATTTCGGAAATTTTTATTTACAGGCGACAAAAAGTCAAAAAATTCTAAAATTGAAGACTAATATCCACGTTTTTTGAGTAATTTTAGAGGTTTCGGGGCCCGGTGTCAAAAAGTCTTGAAATTTTAGGGGATACATCTCGAGGTCATTTAATGCCGTTTGGAACCATATATGATTATTATTTGTTGTCATAAATGTTTGTGGTAGGCTTGAGTTAATGAAATCGGTGCAAGTTATAAACCGATAAATAGGTCATTTAAAGGCAAATTGGATGGTTCCACCCACTCAATTGGACTCCCGAAGAGTATTAGGGACCATGGTAAACATTTCAACAATTTTTATTTTCTGGCGAAAAAAAGTCAAAAAAATTCCAAAATTGACACTACAAGAATCAGGTCGAATTCCGACGGAAAGGTTCCGACGGACCTGAAATTTCGTCGGAAAAACCAAAAATTTCGACAGAATTATATTCCGTCGTATATTTTCGACGAAATAAAAAATTCCGTCGGAAAATATGTAGTTTCCGACAGATTATTTCGTCGGAAATTTACGACGGAATTTCCGTCGGAACTCCTTTTAAAAAAAAATCACTTATTTCAAAAAGAAAACCCTAAACATCTACTGCTCCTCTCCGCCTCTTTTCACTTTCCCCTTTTCCTTCTCATTCTCTTTCCTCTCCTCTTCTCATTCCTTTTTTTCCTTTGTGGCTCTGCCCCTCCTCTCTTTCAATCTCTTTCGCCTCTTCTCTTCCATTTCCTCTTTTCTCCTCTTCCATTTCCTTTCCTCTTATCTTTCTCTTGTCTATATCCGCCACAACATCAACCCGCAACAACAACGACGACCGCCACAACATCAACCCGCAACAACAATGACGCAACAATTACAAAGTCGACAACCACCGTCCCGAGCCACCCACTCTCAAGGTTTTTGTTTTGTAGATCTAGTTTTAATTTAGGTTAGATTGTAGATCTAGTTACTTTTTTGTAATTGTTATGTAAATTTATGAATTTTATTAGATAATTGTGTATTTATATATTTCCTGTAATAAAATTAATTTTTTTTTAAACGAAATTCTGTTTAAATATGTAGATCCACAGGTTTTGATTTATTTTGTGTGGTATTTTTCGATTATGTTGTTAATTTTTAGATTTATGGGCTAATTTTTGTTTTTTGGTGTTAATTTTCGATTTTGGGGGATTTTCGTTTTGTTGGGGTTTGATTTTCGTGTTAATGGGTTTAATTTTCGTTTTTTGGTGTTTAATTTTCTGGGTTTGTGGTGGTGGTGTGTGGTGTTTAATTTGTTGGGTTTGTGGTGGTGGTGTTTAATTTACTTGGTTTGTGTCGGTGGTGGTGGGATAAGGGTGGGTTTGTGGTTGGGGTCGGTGAGCGGTGGTTCTCGGGTGGGGGTCGTGGTTCTGGGTGGAGGTTGGTGGTTCTGGGTGGGGGCGGGTGGTTCTGGGGTGGGGGTGCAGTTTTTTTTTTATTTTTTTAATAGAATTTTTCGACGGAATTTCCGTCAAAATTTTCCCGCGGAATCATATCCGTCGGGAATTTCCGACGGACTTGCCCGGGCCAAAATATGCCGTCTGACAGAAAGAATTCCGTCGGAAAAGATAAATTTTTCCGACAACACATATTGCGACAACCGCTTCCGACGGAATTTCTACGGAAACAGGTTTTCCGACGGATAACGGGGTGTTTCCGACGGAATTTTTTGTCGGAATTCAGCTGTTTTCTAGTAGTGTGAGGCTATTATCCACGCTTTTTGAGAAAATTTTGAGGTTTCAGGGCTCGATGTCGCAAAGTCATGAGTGTTTAGGGAATACATCCGGGGTCATATAATACTGTTTGGAACCATATATGATCATTATATGTCATCATAGATGTTAGTGGTAGGCTTGAGTTAATGAAATCGGTGCAAATTGTAAACCGGTAAATTGGCCGTTTAAAGGAAAATTGGATGGTTTCACCCACCCAATTGGACTCCCATAGGATATTAGGAACCATGGTAAACATTTCGGCAATTTTTATTTTCGAGGGAAAAAAAGTCAAAAAAATTCCAAAATTAAAGGCTAATATCCATGTTTTTTGAGAAATTTTAGAGGTTTCAAGGTCCGGTGTCGAAAAGCCTTGAAATTTTAGAGGATACATATCGGGGTCATATAATGTCATTTGGAACTATTTATGATCATTAAATGTTGTCATAAATGTTCGTGGTAGGCTTGATTTAATGAAATCGGTGCAAGTTATAAACCGATAAATTGGCCGTTTAGAGGCAAATTGGATGGATACACCCACCCAATTGGACTCCCGGAGGGTATTAGGGACCATGGTAAAAATTTCGGCAATTTTTATTTCCGGCCGAAAAAAAAGTCAAAAAATTCCAAAACTGAATACTTATATCAACGTTTTTTGAGAAATTTTTGAGGTTGTGTACGGTGTCGAAAAATATTGAAATTTTAGGGAATACATCTCATTTTCATATAATGCCGTTTTGAACAGTATATGATCATTATATGTTGTCATAAATGATCGTGGTAGGATTAAGTTAATGAAATCGGTGCAAGTTGTAAATCGGTAAATTGGTCGTTTAAAGGCAAATTGGATGGTTCTACCCACCCAATTGGACTCCCAAAGCGTATAACTGACTATGGTAAACATTTTCGGCAATTTTTATTTCCGGTAGAAAAAAAGTTAAAAATTCCAAAATTGAAATCCAATATCCACACTTTTTGAGAAATTTTTGAGGTTTCGGGGCCCGGTGTCGAAAAGTCTTGAAATTTTAAGGAATACATTTCGGGGTCATATAATGTCGTTTGAAACCATATATGATCATTATTTGTTGTCATAAATGTACGTAGTAGGCTTGAGTTAATGAAATCAGTGCAAGTTGTAAACCGATAATCGGCTGTTTAAAGGCAAATTGGATGGTTCTACCCAGCCAGGTGTACTCCTGAAGAGTATTAGGGACCATTGTAAACAGTACGAAAATTTATATTTTCGGGCGAATAAAAGTAAAAAAATTCAAAAATTAAAGTCGAATATCCACG